TTCTCGCCCCCGTACCGGTGACGTCAACCGCTTGCGTCCGTGCGGACGGTCGACACCCCCACGAGGGGAGAGAGCTTAGACTTTGTCATCTTCCCTCACCCACCTTAAAGAGAGAGGAGTTGCGACGAATGTTGTATGGATTCGGTGTTGGTTCGGATGACCGGGAACGTGGGACCTTGCCCGTGTTCATCACGTACCTCCGATCGTCTCATCTCGCTACCGACCTTCCCCATCGCTGATGACGACAGCGTCTATTGCGATGCGGACGTACGGCGCGCGCTGAGGCGGACGGAGCAAGTGTGTTGGCAGGACCCGCCTCGAGCTTGTGAGATAAGGGGGAACGGGTTTGTTTTGATTGATCGTTTTGATTCCCCGACTTTAATATTGTCTTATACGGGTTTGACGGTGTTGCCCTGGTCGGCCGCTCACGCGACGTGGCAGCCGCAGTTTGATTGTCACTGGTGTCGCCAGGGGGCTCATGTTCTTGGCGACGGCTGGTCCTGGGTTACGAGGGAGCGACACGTTTCCCCGAGCTTTCCTGTAGTGTGGGGGCGCTACCCCCGCAATTTCGAATTCAGATGCCGGCGAGTCCTCCCGCCGCTTTACCCTCCCGGAAACTTTCGCGCGGACTCTGTGAGTCCAACGCAGAGGCTTGAAGGCCTCGAACCACCCACCTCCGCAGCAAAGACCCGAGGGTTCGGCCACTTTGTGAGGCCTATGATGAGGCCAGAAGGCTTCGAACCCGCCACCTATCCCCCAAACCCCTGACGGTCGAAGTTTTGTCCTCCGCCGTCATGGCCCTCTCCCCTCAATGCCTTTTTTCGTCCCGATGCATGAAGGCAGTTCGTTTTTGCGGAAACCTTTTTTTTTTTGAGTTTATCGTTTCGGAGTGATCTGACCCCCACGGGACTCCGCGACGACAGTTCGACTCCGGGGAAAACCCCTGGCACGAAACGAGGGCCTCCTGTTCCGTCCGGGAAACTCAACCCTTACGGCCAAAAATCCTCGGCCATGCCCCTCCTAGAACTCTGATCGGTGACCCCGTACGGGAAGCCGCGAGGGGGCATGAGGTTGGTATCAGAGCTGATTCGTTTCGGCTCCGAGGTTTTCCTAGGATGATTACCCTGTTTTAAAGTTTCTCCTTTTTCTTTTTGATCTTTTCATTAGATTTTTCACATTTTTTAGTAGGCTGGCTCCCCGTCGACGGAGGCCCGCGAATAGCAATCAGAACCAAGCGAGAGGTCGGGCTCGAAACCCGCCTCCCACGATGGTGGAACCCGGAATCGGGGGTGAAAACGATGGCAACAACCACACGGGGATGGCTAATCATCCCCTGTACTTTGTACCTCCTCCCTCCGAAGTTCCCATTTTTTATGAAGATGACACCGATCCTCGCACCTGGCTAGCTGCCTTGAAAGCCCAGGGCTGGTCGGACCAGTTGCTCCGAGAACGAATTCCCGGAAGGTTAGCCGGAACCACTTTTGAGTGGTACGGACAAAACCCCTTCACTAATTGGGCAGCCTTCAAGAGGAAATTTCTCGATAGATTTGATCACATCGCACCAGGTCAATGCCTCCGTTTAATAAAGGAATACACATAGCAGCCTCGGGAGACCTTGGCTAGATATGCTGAACGTTTTACTTACCTAGCCGAATGCTCCGGGGTGGATGAGAAATGGTACGGACTGATTTCGTCAGAGGACTGTCAGATTCTCGTCTGCGGAAAAAGATCCGCAAGAAATGCAACCCTATAGAACATACCCTGACGGAGCTAATTCAGTACGCAATTAAGTATGGGAAAGAAAATTACGATGTGGGCCTGGACTCAGAATCCGACGAAGATGTCCCTTCGGGTATTCGACGCAATAGCTACTCCGCTACGGCACAAATGTTCGAAGATCGCTTCGGGTTGGGTCCGGTAAAAAAAGGCTCGGATCGGAAAGCTTCTTCCTCTGCTTCGGCCTCCCGTCGCTCTTGTCAAACGCAAGGAGGCCGGGGTGAGGAAGAAGTATCCATGAAAGAAGTCGCGACCCAACTAGTTACGGTAGTAGCCCCGTTGACGGAGTTTGTTCAAGGTCTACAACGGCAATGCATAGCCACCGCACAACGACAACAGGCGGCTATGGCTGCCGGAGCCCCTATGATAAGACCGGCCGTGGCCGGGGATGTCCCACCCCTACGCTGTTATAATTGTAATCAGCCAGGCCACCTTGCGAAAGATTGTCCGAAACCCCGAACTCAGGGCAGGCCCACCGGACCATCCCAAATCCCGCTGGCTGCTCCCACCGCTGCAGGACAGGGGAGGGTAGCCACGGTAATGGACACAGGAACGACGGAGATGGTGACCCCGGCGGCCACTGAGATAGGACCCGATGAGTATATGGCGGCAGCGATGTTCGAACCGGGGACCATCGGAGTGATACGTCACGTCCAACGGATTACCGAGGAAAGCGACCTCGGGCCGTGGCGACCAGGATTCGAGGATCTTGCGGTACCTGGTCCTGAATACAAGGATGGCCATATCGACGTATTGGATGCCTTGAAGGCTCTGGATCTTCGGATCCCCGTCCCTATTCCATATCTGCTAACCATTTCCGAAGCGGCTAACGAAAAGTTGATCGAACGGTGCCTCAAAAACAGACGCCGATTCGAGGAAAGTCGAAAGGGCAAAAAGCCGGTCCTACGGGACCCACCCATTAACGAGGAGTCACAGCCCTCGACCTCAGAGGTGCACGAAGCCAACCAGATAGGGATGATCCAGACCGTAGATTCCGCCTCGGAAAAACCCGAGGTATTCCTCCGGGCCTATCCTATAGCCTGGAAAAGCGTAGAGTGTGACTGTGAGGTCTGGGGAAACCCCTCGGCCACCATCCTAGACTCGGGATCATCGACGGTCACCATTTCTTGGAGATTGACGAAACAGTTGGGAAGGGAAAGGACAGGTTCAGCCCCTCCGGCCGGATGAACTGTATATATCCGCTACGGAAGATAGTATTCATTGTAAAGGGTGAATAACGAACGTGCCTATACGGGTGGGGCGGGTGCATTGTTTGTGTGACGTGATCGTGCTGGATGTACAAGCGTATGATGTTGTGCTAGGCATTCCGTGGCAGGCGGCGGTCGGAGCGTGAATGCACTTTGACAGTTGTAAGGTGGTGCTTACATCGGCCCACCCCAAACCCCAAACGATACTAATGAGACTGGCGGTGCGCATGCGCACCCAGCCGGCGCCTCGCCTCACCACGAAAGCCCATCAAATCAACATGATCCGACGTCTGTCACCAAACGAAAATGAGCCCTCGACGGAAACTGACAAGACTGATGTACCCGACCAATATCCGATCCGAGTTCAGGATCGGTGGCGCCATTCTTGGTGGCGAGAACCACTGGAAATAGTTCGGAGCGAGTCCACTTGGTCGCACGCGTTCTCCTCCGTGGTGCAGGGGGAACCCCTGGTGAGGGTGTCCCGAATCGCTGACCTTTCGGAACCCCCTGCGTCCTTGTATCTCAGGACGGACCTCCTACCTGAAAGATTTACCGAGTTGAGGGGGCTGTGCGATTTATCTTTACGACCTCCACGGCCCCTACTCACGAATGAAAAATCCGCGATACTCCTGAAAGAGGGGGTGTTGTTTCAACCCCGAACGAGGGAGTATCAGTGGGGACCGAGGGAACTGGCGCAGGGGTTCGGCCGAACCCGAACTGGACAGTGACAGTGACATGGAAAGCGAGCCGATGAGTCCGGCGGACAGCCAACTTATTGCGACGGTCCTTTCGGCGAAAACCGACAAATCTTTGTTTGGGGCCTCGCCCGATGCCAACGCGGCGGTCCCCACGGTTACGACGACGGTCTCCTTTCCTGGGGGAACCGTAGAAGTTCAGTTACCAGCCCGTGTTCCGGACGAATACAAACGCCTCCTCTTGGCGGTTATATGGGCCTATCCTGAGGCCGTCAGTATTCAGGACCACGAAATAGGGCTAACCCCTTTGATACAACACGCGATTGCCACCGAGGATCACGCTCCGATACATTGCCGACCGTACCGATATTCCCTTAAAGAAAGGCAGCTGGCGTTGGAAAGGGTATGGGAATTCGAGCGGTTGGGGTGGGTCGAACCATCACTGGGACCATGGTCTTTTCCCGTGGTCCTCGTGCCAAAAYGAAATGGCTCGGTTCGGGTATGTATCGACTATCGGAAATTGAACGCCATCACTACCAAAGATGTGTATCCCTTGCCGCGAATCGATGATTTGTTAGATGCTATCGGGGCCGCTGGAGTCTTTTCCAAGTTCGATATCCAACACGTTTTTCACCACGTCGCAGTCCGACCCAAAACCGCCTCTGTCCTGTTTGAGGGCACGTGGCAATGGGTCCGGTGTCCCATGGAAATTTGTAACGCCCCTGCAACGTTTCAGCGGGCCATGAATATGGCCTTCGCTGAGTTCGTTAACAAAACCCGACTGACCCAGCCCCTGATCAATTTCTTCGTGATTGTGTACATGGATGATATTTTGGTCTTTTCAAAAACACACGAGTACCACGTGGAACACATTGAGTGGGTTTTGCATGCACTGAAAGATGCGGGGTTCAAAGTGGCCTTGGAGAAAAGCGATTTCTTCTTGTCGGAGATCTCATTCTTGGGGTATATCGTCACGGTCGACGGACTAAAACCGGATCCAAGGAAGGTGGCTGCAGTTCAAGACGCCCCGACGCCGGTCACACTCACCCAGGTTCGGGCTTTTCTAGGGCTGGCATCCTATTACCGACGCTTCATCAAGGGGTTCGCCGGCATAGTGAAGCCCCTCACGAACCTGCTGAAGAAAGAGGAACAACTGATCTGGACGCCGGAATGCGAAGCGGTGTTTCAGGCGTTGAAGGAGGCTTTGACATCTGCTCCTCTGTTGGCGCGCCCCGACCCGACAAGACCGTTCGCACTGTACACAGACTGGCAGCCTCAGGCGATATCGGTGGTGCTGACTCAGCACGACAAGGATGGAAGGGAGCACGTCATTGAGTATGCGTCCAAGACGCTGAGCCAAGCGTAGGCTAATTACGAAGCGTGCAAAGGTGAATGCCTGGCGGTGGTGTGGGGGATTCAACATTTCCGACCGTATCTGTACGGCCAGAAATTCGTGCTGGTTACGGATCATCAGCCGCTGCTGTCCCTACGCAACAACACGGACTACACGGGGACGCTGGGCAGGTGGGCGGTGCGTCTACAAGACTATGACTTCGACATCCGCCACCGTGCCACGCGGCAGCATGGTAACGCCGATGGATTAACGCGCCTTCTACCGCCCAACAAGTGTCCCGCCAACGAGCGACTCATTCCGTGGAGGCCAAAAGTCGCGGCGACGAAACCGCACTACGGGGAGCTACACGTGCTGCGTAAGGACGACGCGTGAGTCCGGAATGGAGGTTTCGTGGAAGATGGCCGATGCTATCTCTCTGCCCTCATCCCACTCCTTCGCTCTCTCGTCTAGCCCCAACTCGTCCTCTGAAACACACCTAAGTCCCTGTTTCTTCTGTACCTTGCCTATGATCCCGAACCAAGAAGGGTCACATCCGGGAGGGCCCAGTTTTCTTTTATGGGTACAGTGTAGTCAGTGTCATACAGTCAAATCTCACGGACAGTGCGTTAGGTACCGAAGTGAAAAAACGTGGGTCTGTCCCAACTGTAGAACGGACCAAGTCCCCACCGAGAGGCGGTATCTGGACGCTAGAACAACCGACGGATTTGCGCCAAGTGCCCGCCGGGCAGAAACCTGGATGGACCAGTTGCTACGAAGACTGTCAGGCGACTCGTTGTCAGAACTTACCAAAGCCGAACGGCGGAGATTCACGGAGCGGGTGCAGGACTATCGCTGGCAAGGGCCGACGTTACAAAAACGGAAGGTCGATGACGACGGAGAGTCTAGCTGGTTGACGGTTCCACACCCTCTTGCTAGGTTCGATTGGACACGAGCCGCTCATGAGGAGGATGCGGTCCATTTCGCGGTCAAGTTCACGGAAAAAGCCATCGAAAAGAATGGATGGTACTGATCGGGAATTCGGGAAGATGTGAAATACATCGTTCAGAATTGCCCGGCCTGCGCGGCGGACAAGGCGCCGATACAGATGCCTCGGACGATGGTGCCCACTCGTGTAGAGCGCCCCTTTCAAAGGGTTAGCATCGATACGACGGATATCAACGTTCCGAGAGGGCCTGACGATTAGGGAGAACTCAATGTTCTTTTAGTGGCCGTCGATCATTTCTCAAAATGGATCGAGGTGTACCCTATGACCAGCTGGAATTCGCAGGAAGTAGCCTGGTACGTAAATCGATTTTTGTGCATGTATCTAGACGTAGAAGAGGTACACATGGACAATGGGTCGGAATTTCAAGGCGAAGTAGAATGTCACCTAGTCAGGGCGAATGTTAAGATTATCTACTCGCCAGGGCATTGGCCTCAAGCCAATGACCTGGTAGAGAATGCCAACCGACTGATTAAGACGGCCCTTAGGCGGAATATCACTGCGGAAGACACCCGACCCTGGCCGGTTATTGTCGATCACATTTTGGCCGTTTATCGGGCTACCCCACACGGTAGTACTGGGGTGTCCCCCTTTCAACCGAGAACCAATAGTGTCCCTTGGGTGCAATTGTCCCCCTTAGTAGGTACGAAAGTTAGAGCAACACGGGCCCAGAAAATAGACAAGGCCTGCCACTACATGGACTTAATGGCTAGGGCCTATCCCCCGTTAGCTCGCCGTCGACAGCAGGCCGTAGATCGGACACATCAACGGCAGATCCGTGACTACGAGAATCGACACGTGCCGGCGGGACCACTGCCCCGCTATAAAGTTGGGGACTTGGTGCAGGTACGGAAATCTGCGCGCTCCTCCAAGATCCACCCAGGCTACAAAGGCATTTGTGAGGTCACGAAAGTTGGCGCACAGGGACAGCACTCCGTGAAGCTGATTCCCCGTCACAACTCCCAGGCCCGACCGCTGACACGGCACGCTGCCGCGCTCCGGCCCTTTCAGCCATCACTAGGTCCCCTACGAACCCCCGCTCCTGCGAGATCACCCTCTCCTTTTTCATCCTCCTCCTCTTCCCGATCTGCCTCGTCCATTGGTGTTGAGAGTTTCAGGGAGCAGGATGAACCATCGCCAGCCGGAGCATGAGCCCCTCAAGCACTTCCAGACGCCACTTGTAGATCGCTTGTTGCGGCATCGATTTAATGAGGAGAGGCAATTGCGGTACGACATCCAACAGGTGAACGTGCCAGCGCCCGGGGTTGCTGATTTGGCAGCGTACTCGTTGCTCTGCGATCGGCTGACATATGCGGGAGTGTACGTGGACGTGACGCAGTTGCCTGGCCGGGAGACGACCCGAGTATTCATTGAGTTCCGTGCTCTCCAAGTGGCACCCAACTTCGTGCACAACGTCGCCACCTTCATCGGAGACTTGACGGTCCGACCGCAGCAGAATCGGGAGCCGGCGTGCAGCTTTGTGCGCGAATACGCGGTGGAAGCGGCTAGATCAGTGGCCAGAGTGCAAGGACGGGGGGGACACCGATTCACAACCCACGAAGTGCTGCTGCGTAGGCCAGAGGACGGACCGATTGCGTTGGTGCCGCAGCTCCCCGCGCTTCTCCCTCCCGCTGCTCCTCTCAACCTCCAAGCTATTCCCCCTGTCCCGTACTAAATGCCTCCTTTCTTCTCCTACACCACCTTCCCCTACCAGCTCACGGAGGGCCCTTACCCCATGCGCGAGTTCTCGAAGTATTTGGTGGAGCTAACTGACGTGGAGCCGCTGCCCTTCGCTGACGAAGACGCGTGGGAGTTGCACCGTGCGTTGTACAAGTCGGTGGCGCTAGGGATGTTCCGGTTCTTCGTGGATCACGAAGACCACGCTATCGGGGAGCACTTCGTCGTTTACTACGTCATCGCGCGGCCCAAGCCAGCGGAGAAGGAAGGGACGGTGGCGTTGTACCCCTTCGCCCCGCTCCAGACAATCGATCCGGGACTATTGGAGCTCATACATCTTGAGCTCCTTTCCATTGCGCAAGTGATCGCGAGTGAGGAGGAGGAGATCCAACCACGATTGCGGACGGCGACGACCCCGCGGAGAACGTACAACGTGGTCGTCATCCCGGTTTACATTGCGCAGCGCGCGGAGAGATTGGAGGACTTCCCGGAGGAAAGGCCGTTGCGTCCTCCCTCGTCGTATCCTCGACCAGCGCCACCGAAGGCCCCCAAGAAGACGCCAAAGAGGAGGTGATTCAGCCCGCGCGTACGTGGATTCCTGACCCTGTGCCTGGGAGTGCGGCGATGCTCGTTAAGGAGACTATCATGCCATCGCCGCCTATTCTGCGTGTGCCCGATCTCAATCTTGATGGAGCCGGGCCATCATCAGCAGCAGCAGCCGGAGGAGGAAGCCGAATGGGATTTCCGGATCCCATATCCAGACCCCCCGTCCTCGCGGGACCTCTCCGTTCCCTCCAGCCACCCCGGGGTGCCCCGGTCATTGACATTAGTAGTTCATCCGAGCCGGACGGTCCATCCGACCGAGGTGGACTTCATGGTGGAGCCCGCCACCATCAGGCTCGAGGTCATCGTGGGGGCGCCGCGCCCTGATCCGGCGTGAGAGCCATATCTGACACCCCCTTTCCAAGGGTGTATTGCGGCGCGATTAGCTGGGACGCTCATCTACGAGACCGGGCAGCGTCCAAACGTGATGTACCGGTTCCTGGTCTTCGCGGCGCAGAAGCGGGAGCGGCGGCCTTACACCGAGACTCATGTGGTGATGACGGGTCCAGGGCCCCGATCGGTGCGCAAGCGGGTGGTGCGAGCGGTAGCGGATCTGGCGCCCCGTGTCCTCTCACATGTGCCGGGGGCTTTCCTTTACCCCTCATTTGTCCAGCATCACTTCCATGAGGGAGATGCGCCGACGACTCCTGCGACCATGGCCGCTTTTCTTCCACCTATTCCGCCCCCTCTCAACCCCGACATAGATCACTTCCTCTGATCACCCTCGTCTGCCTCTCCCCTGTCCTCTCCTCCTCCTTCTCCTCTTTTTCTTCTTTTTTTCCGGATCTAAAGCTCGCGCGACGATACGCGTTGTATATATATATATCGTCACAAATAGAACTGCCCGGTAAACCGTAGGCAAAGAGAGAGAAGTATATATATATATATATATATATCTTTTTACTTACCGATCGGGCCAGCTGACGATGAAGGGGCCGCCCGATCGAATGTATACTATGGGAGGAGACGATGGAGGATGCAGGATGCATCCACGTAGATTAGGAAGATGATCGGGCCAGATGACGATAAAGAGGCCGCCCGATCATCCATGATATGATGGAATCAGCAGTCGGGAGACTGCTAATTTTTCGGAACCCCCTGCGTATCACAAATGTGATAAGCTCAGATCCGTACCGCGCGGCTTGGCGTATCCCTAAGGAAAAATCCCACGGAAGCCCCGAAGTACGGACGTGGATAGAAAGGGGTTTTTCTTTCTTTTTGCTTTTGTTTTCTTTTTGAAACGGCTTTTTCATTTTGTTTGGTTAACAACTCCCGCGGGCGAATAGCGGCCGCGGTATGAAAACCAAGAAACGGGTGCGGTTGGGACTTTTTGAATTTTTGCGCGCGCGCCCAAGCTCCGATTTCTTCACGCGTCTCTCATCCCCGTTTCTTGCTTTGCATCCTCGCGCCATCTTCCCTTCTTGCCGCGCGGGTTTTCCCCATGCAGGACTCTTCGTCTTCCCCTATGCCCAGCTTGATCCTTACCCTGTCTTCCTCCGCGAAGTGATTGGCTGCGTAGTTGGGATGCTCGGATCAATGTGGAAAGCGGGAAACCGCGCACCAGTTGGACGAACACCCCAATCATGTAGCCATGCAATCCCGCGGGTCGAACCCTCTCTCTCTTGTTCTGCTCATCTACACCCTGCGCTGCCCGCACCTCGCGCTGTTAACCCGCCGCCTCCCGCGCTATAAATTTGCGCAACCCTCTCCTCTCCCTCTCTTTGATCTCGGCTGCAATGTTGTGCGAGCTATGCGCGAGAGTCCGCGGCGCCGAACAGGCTCGACGAGCCCAAGGACGGGCGGAGTGACAACGTGGGGTGGGCCCCGCGGTAGTCTCGGGGCTAAGCAGTCGGAGGGACTGAGCAGTGGTGGGGATTGGACGCCGGTCGCGGCAGGGCCTTGTGGCTATGGTGGTCGGTGGTCTTGGGAAGTTTTGAAGGCTGCGCCTGGGGGCCGCAACTAATTGAAATTTTTGTGTACAGGAAGGACTCGCTTTTATCTCCATTGCTGCTTTGTCCATGCATGTCGTGTGTGTGAAGCCCTGAGTGATGGGAGCTGGTTGTGCGCACGAGTGATGTCGAAGGTTCATGGATGATTAGATATCCTGTCAAGATTTGTTGATTGCATGCATGTATGTGTGTATGTACTCGTCTGGGCGGGGATGGGGAAGCTGAACTGGGGGACCGTCTGCTTAGGAGTATGAGTGTGTTGATCCGGTTGTTCCCCTCCCCTCCGCGGCCTTTTCTGCGCTCTCGCGCGGTCTCGACGCAACTCACCCTCTCTCTCTCTCTCTCTCTCT